TTATTAATCCGAGGCGGGCCATCGGAATCCTGTAACTGTCGTCGCTTTTGGGCTCCTGAGGCCTGAATATGGGAGAAGTATCAGGCGGGCGCTCCATCCCTGTGGGGCACGCACTTCATGTTCGAACCCGAGCGGGTCATCCGAGCGAGCTTTTTGGGCTCCTCAGTTCCTGCGGCCTGAACAAGGGGGAAGTATCAAGCGGGAACTTTGTCTGTGGGCGGTGCGGGTAGTCCCGTCTGAGGACCGTCTCTTGTCGTCACTTGGAGGATCGAAGGGGAACTCGCTCCTGCGGCCTGAATATTCTCTTTCGACTTGCCCACGTCCAATTGCTGGCCAACCTTGTCGTCGTCGGCGGGAGAGGGAACTTGAAAAGGTTCACTCTCCCGCGTTCGTTTGGGCTGGGGAGGGAACTTGAAAAGGTTCACTCTCTAGCTGCGGGAGAGGGAACTTGAAAAGGTTCACTTTCCCGTTCGTGGCAGGATTGGGCTGGAGAGGGAACTTGAAAAGGTTCGACGTCTCTAGTTGCGGGAGAGGGAACATGCAAAGGTTCCCTGCCCCCCCTTGTCGTCGGAGTGAAGGGGGAACTTGAAAAGGTTCACCCTTCATTCGCGGGAAAGGGAACTTGAAAAGGTTCACTTTCCCTTGGAGAGGGAACTTGCAAAGGTTCACTCTCCAGCAGCGGGAAAGGGAACTTGCAAAGTTTCACTTCCCCGCGCGCTCCAACTGGAGAGGGAACTTGAAAAGGTTCCCTCTCCAGCAGCGGGAAAGGGAACTTGCAAAGGTTCACTTTCCCGCGCGTTCCAACTGGAGAGGGAACTTGAAAAGGTCCCCTCTCCAGTTTTATTTCTGACCCCCCCTTTTCCTAACACCGATGTTTCAATGGACTGAGGGGTCACTAACGCAATTTGTGTCTCGGGCGTCGGGGGAGGAATCGCGTTGGCCGGAAACGGAGCTGAGCCTGGCGCGGGCGCTCGATGGAAAACCCTCACGAAACGCTTTGAAATCGATGATTGCGGATGACGAGCAGCACATTTTGCAATTTCCCCATAGGGGGATGGAACGCAATGCACGTTTTTCTTTGGCGTGCGTCACGAAAACGGCCCCTCGAGAACGAAAACGACGCAACGCCCTATTTTCATTATGAAACAATTAGCATTTGAGAGAGTTTTTCATAGATGCACGTGCACACGCACAAGACGGGGGACATCCACGGCGTCTTACCGGCACACGTCGGCATGGAGGTCCGGTTCACGGCCGTGCAGGAGGAGCTGAAGAAGAAGTTGGGGCTCGTGCAGGAGCAACGGGCCACCATCGTGTCCTTCGAGTTTCACGCAGACGACGAGCGGGACTACGAGGAGTGCGCGCCGGGCCAGCTCTTCCGCCCCCGCTTCCTACCGCAGGGAATCTGGCTGCATGTGCACGGCTTCCAGGAGTCCCCGATCTACAAGGAGGTCGCCGAGGTGCTGCTGCAGGGCACCGAGGGCGCTGACGACGACGGCGAGGCCCAGGCGCGGGCGAGGAGCTTGCTCATGTTCAGGCCCAGCGAGCAGGAGTTCACGTGGCAGAGCTCGGGGGCGCACACTGCGCGCCGCTCGGGATTCACGCTGACGCACGCGTCCTACCTGACCTCCACGCTGTCGCAGGGCCAGACGCTGCGCAAGGGCGTCGCCATCGACTGCGCCAGGGATGAGGACGCTGGCCGGACGGGCATGTCGGACGATATGTGGTGGCTGCACCTCTACGTCATGTTCTCCCGCGCCACGTGCATGCGGAACATGCTGATCCTGCGGCCGCCCGCGCGAGAGTTCCTGGAGCGCGGGCCGCCGGCGTCACTGCGGAAGGCGCTCCAGGAGTTCGACGAGAGAGCGGTGGACTCCAGGGCTGAAGCGGAGCAGCTCGCGGCAGAGCTGGGCCTCGTGCTGCCGCCCGCCTGAGCGCCGCGGCGCGCGCGAGGAGGCCCGCGGGGTTGTCCCAACGGCCTGGCCCGCGGGGTTGTCCCGACGGCCTGCCCTCGCGCTCCGGCGGCCCGCGGGAGTGCCCCGCAGGCGTGGCTGGCCCGAAGGGTTGACCCGGCGGCTTCGCGATCTGGCCGTCGGCAAACGCGCGCGTTCTGACCGAGGCGGCGACGGCGCCGAGGAAAATCGACTTGCTTCCCCCGACCGGGGGGAAAGGGACGTGCACGTGGAAAAGAGGCAGGAGTAGGACGAGGACGGAAGGGGCATGGGGAGGGCGATGATGAGGAGGAGGTGGAGAAGGAGGAGGAGGAGGAGGAGGAGAAGGAGGGGGGGGAAATAGAAGAAGAGGAAAAGATGGCAGAGGACAGGGCGATACGAGGGCGTTTGCCATGGCCGGGAGGAAAGGGATAAGGGAAAGCTAAACAGATTATCATGTGGGGTCCTTCCGTCGGAGTAATTTTCTCTGCGCACCCTCCGCGCAGGATCTCTCGTCCTCTTCCCTCTCCTCTGCTCATCTTTGCTTCCCTCCTCCGCATCATCATCGCCATCACCATCACTCCCCACTCATCATCATTATCATCACCATCAGCATCACCATCACCATCGCACGACCACTCACCATCATCGGCATCGAACGATCATCATCATCATCATCATCACTACTCGTTGACTCACCACTTCGTCCCCGTCATCATCACCACCATTTACCATCATAATCGCACGATCACTCACCATCAGCACTCATCATCACCACCCTCATCATCATCACGCCGTCAGCATCACCACCACCACCACCACCATCATCATCATCATCATCATCATCATCATCATCATCAATCATATATCATCATCATCAAACACCGTCGTCATCATCCCATCACCATCATTCACCAAGAGGGAACCTCGTCTGTGAGTGAATTGTGAGGAAGTCTCAGGCGGGAGCCCCCTCCCTATGGGGCCCGCAGATCATGTTACTAATCCGAGCGGGTCATCGGATTCCTGTAACTGTCGTCACTTTTGGGCTCCTCAGGTCTGAATTTGGAGGAAGTATCAGGCGGAAGCCTCGTTTGTCTGTGAATTGTGAGGAAGTCTCAGGCGGGAGCCCCCTCCCTATGGGGCCCGCAGATCATGTTATTAATCCGAGCGGGTCATCGGATTCCTGTAACTGTCGTCACTTTTGGGCTCCTCAGGTCTGAATTTGGAAGAAGTATCAAGCGGGACCCTCGTCTGTGAGTGAATTGTGAGGACGCGTCAGGCGGGAACCCCCTCCCTATGGGGCCCGCGGATCATGTTACTGACGCGCGCGTCCTACCTGACCTCCACGCTGTCGCAGGGCCAGACGCTGCGCAAGGGCGTCACCATCGACTGCGCCAGGGATGAGGACGCTGGCCGCAGGGGCATGTCGGACGATATGTGGTGGCTGCACCTCTACGTCATGTTCTCCCGCGCCACGTGCATGCGGAACATGCTGATCCTGCGGCCGCCCGCGCGAGAGTTCCTGGAACGCGGGCCGCCGGCGTCCCTGCGGAAGGCGCTCGAGGAATTCGACAAGAAAGCGGTGGACTCCAGGGCTGAGGCGGAGCAGCTCGCGGCAGAGCTGGGTTTCATGCTGCCTCCCGCCTGAGCGCCGCGGCGCGCGCCTGGAGGCCCGCGGGGATGTCCCAACGGCTAGCTCCCACGCCCCAGCGGCCTGCGAGGTTGTCTCAACGGCCCAGCCCGAAGGTTTGCCCCGACGGCTTCGCGATCTAGCCGTCGGCAGACGCGCGCGCGCTGGCCGAGGCGGCGACGGCGCTGAGGAACATGGATTTGCTTGCCCCGACGAGGGGGAAGGGGAGGTGCACATGGAGAAAAGGCAGGGGGATGAGGAGGGAAAGGGCATGGGGGAGGCGGACGACGAGGAGGAGGTGGCGCGAGAGGAGGAGGAGGAGGAGGAGGAGGAGGAGGAGGAGGAGGAGGAGGAGAAAGAGGAGAAAGAGGAGAAAGAGGAGGAGGAAGAGAAATGCAGGGGGCGAGAGGAGAGGGCAGTGCAGGGGGCGAGAGGAGAGGGTGTCCGCCAGGGGGAGGAGGAAAGGGCAAAGGGTAATCTAAACAGATTCTCATGCGGGGTCCTACCGTCGGAGTAGTTTTTGGCGCTTGCGGCGGGCTGCTTTTGCTTTCCTTCCAGGTGGAGGTGGAGAGCCCGCGACCCACCCGCGACCTAAACCACGTTCACTGAACAAACCAATGCCGCACAAGCGCGGCGGCGGATTCTTGCATGCCGTCTGAGCCCGCAAGGACCTCTTCACGCCCCGCGCATCCACGCCAGCCCGTCCAGCAATTTTGCCCTGGCGAGTTGTCTTGATCAGAGAAGGCGGGGAGCATAAAGTGGAAAAAAGGATTGCGTTGCAGTTATCTTGGGAAAGGAGGGGGAGGCAGGATGAGTAAACAGGGGACGAGGAGAAAGTGGAAGAAGAGAGGATGTAAGGAGAACGTGGAGAAAAAAAAGGAGGAGGAACAGGAGGACGAGGGGGAGGAGTGGGAGGAGGAGGACGAGGAGGGGGAGGATGGGGAGGATGATGATGATGGGCGACAATGGGAGGACGATGAGGAGAAGGAGGAGGAGGGGGAGGAGGTGGAGGAGAACGCCATCGACAAGGAAGGTGGGGGCCACGAGGTCCGCCGGCTCGACGACGCCCGCGTCGCCCGCGCCCGCCCCCTCACTCTTATCCGCAATTGCGGGGTGCTACGTATATTCTCGTCTGGTTTTGCAAGGCGAGTTTCCCGCACAGGGCGTCGAGTGAAACACCCATGCAGGATATCGTTCGACCGGGCTCGGTGTAACCCCGATGTGCTGCGACACTCTTTGTCGCGACGCAGGTCTCTCAAGACCCTGAACAGCATCCCTCCCCCCTCTGCAGGTCTTCGGGGGCCGCCGGAGACCCCCCGAGGCCCCCGGGAGCTCCTGCCGAAACCCAGGATGCCGCAGGGGGCCCACCCCGAGGGCCATCGCTGTGCCACGGCGCTGCTCCTCGAGCCGCTCGGCGCGCCTTCCCCCGCCCCCGCCAGCGAGAGCGCCGGCTTCCTCGCCGCGCTGTCCTGCTCCGCCCCCGCGGAGGGCGTCCGCACGCCGCCGCGGCTGCCGCTGATCACCTGGCTCCCGCCGCGGCGCGGGCGGCGGGCGAGGAGCGGCAGCGGGAGCCGGTGTCGTCCAGCCAATCCCCATCCCCATCCCCATCCCCTTCGAGGCCCCCACCAAATTACCCCCCCCAGCGTTGGGGATGCGCCCTTCGGGGCCCGAAGGGAACGGCCCATATCCCCGTCCAGGGGGGGGGGAAATCGGCCAGTGGGGCCCGAGGCCGCGCCGCTGGGGATGGGGATCGGTGAAACGAGACTCAGGGAGGAGTGCAGGGTCGGGGGCTACACATCTCGAGGAAGCGAACACAACATCTGAACATGCAGTCCCGGAGCTCCGCGCAGACTTCTCGGGACGGGGCGCGCCAGGGAGGGGGGGATCCAGCGCCGATTCAGGACGTCCGCGCGGACCTCCGAGCAAATGCTCACGCCGTTTTGGTTCACTGGCGCGATGCAGGGCCAGGGGAGGCACGTACCGATACCCTTCTTCGAATCTCGCCTTACTCTGCCGCCCGGCTGGCCCTCGTCGCCATGGCTGGCATCGGCCCGAATAGTTGGCAGACCGCGCCCCCGAAGATGCTTATGCTTGTCTAAGATTGAGAAGAGAGGATTGCGCGGAGGACAGCCCTCCAAGAGTTACCACCACTCGTCCCCCAACGACTGACAGTACATAGTCTGCACTGATACCCGGCTGCCTTGGCGCGAATCCCGCCATCGTGCCGGCGCAGCAGCGCAGCAGGAATGATATTGAGTTTAAGACCCGCTCCAGTCAATTAAACGCCCAGCGTGAATTGGCGCATGGTTGAAGAGCAGCGGGGAGGGGCAGCAGGTGCAGTTGAAGATCCGTTCCAGCTCAGCACCCTTTCCGAATCTGCGCGGATCGTGCACGCCCCATTCTTGTCCAGAATGTAAGTATCTTCTTTCTCCTCCCGTAGATGGACAAAAAAGTGGAACCCTTGACACCACGGCCCCCCCCCCAATTTCAAAGTTGGCTTCAAGCATTTTGCAGCACAGGCGTGATAGGACAAAAAAAGTGGAACCCCCAAGGCCTCCGAGAGGCCGAACCCAACTTTGAAATTGGGGGGAGGGGGGGGGGGGGGGGGGCGAATGCGGGGCCGAAGACGAAGGGGTTTCATTTTTTTGTCCCCTTTACCGTCCCTTCCCAAGGTCTGTTTCCTTCTGGATCGTGTGCGCCTTCCTTATTCTAATGCCCCTATATTGCCGACTTCCTCCTCCGCGAAAAGACAACACGATGCAGATGAGAAGCAACATGATCAGATCGATGGGTAGTGGCAGGGATGAGATGAGGAGGAGGAGGAGGAGGAGGCAGAAGGAGGGGCAGGAGGAGTCTTGTCCGTGGCCTCGTTTTCAGTTACCTTGCTGATGTGATGTCTGGCTATCCCCCCCATCAGGACATCTGAAACTGGCGCGTGTCTTTAGATCCACCTCAGCATCCCCTTCCTCCCTGCAGTGCTCCCTCAACGCAAAAACAGAAGGAGGCAGATGAGCAGAAGAAGCCCGACGCCGACGAACTGCTGCAGAAGGAGGAGGAGGACGTGAAGTGCAAGACCTGCTCCACAAGGGCGCCCTCGAGGGCGCGAAGTTATTCGCGCTTCGCGGTTCGGCTCCGATTCCTCCTCACCCTCCTCTTCTCCCCTGGGAGGCGGCGCGAGAGCGCGAAGTTATTCGCACTTCGCGCTTCGCGCAGCGCAAAGCGCGAAGTTGGGAGGCCTTGCTCCATTTCTGTGCCGTGCATGCACTGTCACGGATCTTGAACGCCCCCGTTTTTCCGCGGCTCCGTGCTCCTCTCTTTGCCTCCTCCTCCCTCAGCCTCCGCCCCCCGCTCCTCCTCCAGACCACACTGAAGGCTTCACTTGAGGAGCAGGAGGAGGAGGAGGAGGAGCAGGAGGAGCAGGAGGAGGAGCAGGAGGAAGAGGAGGTGAAGAGGGATGAGGAGGATGAGGGAATCTCGGTCGCCTCTTGGACCCTCTTCTGCCGCGGCCGGCCCCTCCGGCGCTCGCCTCCCTGCGAGGTTCGTCGGCGTCGTCGGCGCCCTGGGCCCGGAGGCGGCCTCAGCGGCGGAGCGCCTGGAGGCGGAGGAACGGCGGCGGCGGCGGGGGGGGGCTGCCAGAGATCGTTCGGTGGCGAATCATGGGAGCGTTGGAGCTCCTCCTCCTCCTCCTCCTCCTCCTCCTCCTCCTCCTCCTCCTCCTCCTCATCGAGCGCTGAAAGATGGTGTTTTTGGATTCCCGGCTTCCAATCTGCTTGAAGCGCCCTCCTGCTTCAAGGATCGAGCGGCTTCACCTCTTCCCGTCCTTCTTAGGGGGCGGGCGGAACCCAGTCTTTTTTCAACGCCTTCCTGCTTCATGTTTGTACCTACTTCTTCTGACCGATGGGTACTCTCTGAATTCCGTTCTAAGTTCTAAGCGTCGATTAGCGTCTGGGAGGCGATGAGATAGCGCCGATCTAGCGTCGGTTAGCGTCGATGAGTGTCGATGTAGCGTCGGTGAGCGTCGATGAGCGTCGATTTAGCGTCGATTCGCGAGAGCCGACAAGATGGTACGGGAGGCTCCCATGGGTTGCCATCGAAAGATCCGAGATCTTGACGTAGGGTAGCAACTCGCGGGAGCCTGATGCCGCTGCTCGCTCCGGAGGGCCCTCGTTACCAGGGTCGGATGCTCCACGGAGTTCTGGTCAGAGCGCACCTTGGGAAAGGTCTGGGCGAGTTGCGGTATCTGGACGTTCCAGTTTGCCCGCTGTGAGTCCTCGGAGCTCTGCCTCCGGAGAGCGTCAGCGTGCGCTGGCATCTGGTAATCGATGAGAGCGCCGATTCGGCGTCGACCAACTCCAGTTCACATCAGACAAGATCAATCAACATCTATTCGCGGGGGCCAGCAAGATGACACGGGAGGCTCCCATGAGTAGCCACAGAAGACCACCCTGCCGAGTCGATTTGCGAATTGCCATCTCGCGAGTCTCGAAGGGATGTTGCGGCCGCAGTTTTTGTGGGCCTGCCACCGCTGGGCCCTGTCCCGGGTCATTTTCACTAGTGAGTGGGCATTTTGCGAAATGGGTTCCTGACCGCCACCGACAAGAGCGAGGCTGTCTTCCTCCCTCTCCTCACCCTTATCTGATGTGGGGAGGGGTGGTGCCATGAGTCGCCCACTGGACGTTTCCTCCACCCGGCCGTCTCCAGGCTAGTGTTGTTTCCCCGCCAGCGGGGCAATGCACGTGGGAAGCTTGCTCCTTTCCGCACTTGGTGCCGCCCACATGCGCCCCCGCCCCGCCATCCATTCTGGCACAACCATTTTCGTGGCCCCATGGGGAACTCCACCAGAGGCCCAAATGGTGCCGTCCACGTGCGTCCCCGCCACCCACTTCGTCACACCCCTCAAACGTTTTGTGGCTCCATAGGGGGCTCCACCGCAGGTCCCACGTGGTGCCGCCCGCATGCGTCCCCGCCACCCATTTCGGCACATCCTTCGCATGTTTCGTGGCCCTGCAAGGGCCTCCACCGAAGGCTTAAGCTGCACCCTGCGCATGCGTCCCCGCCACCCATTACGGCACACCCGTTAGCCGTTTAGTGTTCTTGTGGGGAGTTCCACGGAAGCAGTGGCGACGTGTGCACGTGGTCCCCCACCCATGTCGGCACACCCCTCACACAGTTCAGGGCCCCACAGGGAGCTCCAACCAATGTTCCAGTGCCACCGTTCGCATGTGTCCCCCCACCTACCCCTAACATTTAGGATGCAACTCCTGGGAGGCCAAGTTCTGATTTTGCACTGATCCGAAGTCCGGCTCAATCCGGCTTAATTCCGCTGAATCCCGTTTGATCCCGCTTAGTCCCGTGTAATCCCGCTCAATCCGGCTTTCTCCCGCGTCATCCGAGGCCCACTCCGGCGTGATGGCTCCCAAATGGGGCTGAATCCTGTTTTATCTTCCCGACGAAAACCTCCCAGTGGTTGCCTCCTCACCCATGGGCAGCTTCACACAAGGCCCCATGAGGAGATCCACGGAAGGCGGTGTTCACAACGACGGCATGCACGCTTGCACCTGGGCCGAGTCTTTTGTCGAGATAAGGTTGGTCAGGAGGGAAAGAAACACACAGACACAATTAATCGTCGATCCCCAGGAAAATATGCGAAAATATGGAAAGTGGGGGGGAAGACGAAAACCCAGAAAATATTGGAAAATATGGGGAATCGTTTTATTTGTGTGTGTGTGTTTATTTGTGTGCGTCCCAGGGGCCCCTTTAATAAGGTTGGCTCGTGGCCGTCCGGACCAAACGTGTGGGCCGCATGGAGGCGAGGTTGCGATGCGTGAAGACATTGTGAGTCCACGCGCGCCCTTGTTTTTTCCTGCCAGGGATCGTAGCATTACCAGTTTGAAACAGATCCCCAGCCCTGTGTTTGGCATCCCCTCGCCTCGATGCCGATCTCAAGGATTCCTCCGTTTCCGAGAGCACATCCCTGAGATCGTCCTCGCTTTTTGCTCGCCCATCTCAGGGATAGGGATGTGTTCGAGGCTGGTTTGGGCAGTCCAGACCAGCAACGTAGCGGGCAGCAAGGCGAGACCACGGTTCCCAAACACACTGTGAGAACGTTTCGGGCGGAATTTCTGCCGCCGCCGGGCGTTCTCGGGCTCCACGTCTTCCCCCGTGGCAGAATCATGTTGTTATGTTACCTTCAGGGGGTCGCTCCTCCTCCTCCTCCTCCTCCTCCTCCTCCTCCTCCTCCCTCCCTCCCTCCCTCCCTCCCTCCCTCCTCGTCCTCCTCCTCATCCTCCTCCTTTTTCTCTTGAGGATCCTCTTGGAGCACTCTTGGGGCGTATTGCGAACCTCTGGGGCCGCCATCTTGACGCCATCTTGGGTCTTTTGGGGGCCTCCTTGGCGTGCTGGAGCCCTTCCCAGGCTGTCTTGGAAAGTATCCTGGACGTCTTGGAGGTGTCGGAGGGTGCATTTCGAAGCCGCGAGGGCCCTTGAGGTGCGTGGGCGAGCTCATCACCCTTCCCCCTCACACGGGATATTGGACCCCGCGGGAGGAGGAAAAAGGGGGAGGGGGACAGCCAATCTTCTCCCGCCCCTCCTCACCCCTAACAAACGGAGCATGGCGGACTCCTGTGATCTCCTTCTCTCGCTGCTGCTCTTGCTGCTGCTGGTGCTCCACCTTACCCTCGTGTCGCTCTCCCCCTCCCTCTCCCTCCGCCCTTCTTCTTCTCGCCCTCGCCCCCTTCACCCCCGTGCCCTCTCGGTGCAGATCTTCTTCCTCCTGCCCTTGCTCCTGCTGATCCCTCGCTGCGCACGTGCTCGTCACACGTGCTGCTCCCCCTGCTCGCTCTCCCTCCTGCCGCTCGCCCTTCCCCGAGGAGAGGGGGATGGCCGCCGTGAGCTGCATCCTGCAGGAGCGGCGCTCGGCTCCCTCGGCGCCCGCCCGGGCCGGCCGCTGGACCTGCCGACCGCCTCCCTCCTCCAACCCTCCTTCCTCCTCCTCCTCCTCCTCCTCCTCCTCCTCCTCCTCCTCCTCCTCCTCCTCCTGGGAGCCTTGAGACGGGGGTCAATGCAAACGGGGGTCAGCCAGAGCGCCAGGTCTTGCAGGATCCTGCGGGGCCAGGGTCGCGCTGACCCCTGCAGGATCCTGCCGGACCCTTCGCATCATTGACCCGGGTTTGGGCGCAGGGTCTTGCAGGATGTTGCAGGATTCTGCAAAGCCTGACTGACCCGGGTCTGGATTGACCCGGGTCAGAAAGATCCCCGAGTGCCGTCTGTGCAGTAGTCTCGGGGGTGGACAGACCTCCTGCCCTGGCACGTCGATTGGTGAGTTGGCCGTTCTCGGTTCGCGAGAGGGCGTCGCGGTCGTCATTTCTGCGGGTCCAGGGTCGTCGGTTTCGGTCCCAGGCCGTTTTCACTAAGGGGGGGGGGTCACTGAAGGGAGGTCTGTCCACCGCCGGTAGCCAGCTCGGCTGAAGGCCAGGCCTGTTTGGGGCTCGGGCAGGCTGGCGGATGCGGCGCTGCGCGCGGGCGTGGAGGCCGCAGGTGTGCAAGCGTGCCCTGCGCAGGCGTGGGACTCGGGGCCTCCCAGATGGGGTCCAAGAGGGTGGGGTCGGAGGATCGCGCCGCACCGCCGATGCATTGTCGATGCGGTTCGAGGTCGATCCGATCTGCTTCACGTCGACGTCGCCGACGCACCGCCCACGTCGACGATGCATCGCCGATGCATCGGCGATGCGGCGCGATCCTCCGACCACATCTACTCCGACCCCATCCAGGCTTGAGTCGGGCCTGTCCCTCTACAGGCGGAATATTCAAACATAGTTTTAAAGATAGTCTGGGGACGATTTGTTGACTATCTGGGAATATGTTTGAGTCTCTGTAAGGGTATTGCTTTGAGTTTGTCCTCCAACATCCGCCTGCGCCTCGATTTTTGTTCGAGGCGCCAGGACGTCTGGGTCTGCTCTCTCGAGCCGCGCGCCCCCAGCTCAGGAGGGAAAAACACACACAGACACAATGAATCGTCGATTCCCCAGCAAATATGGCAATGTATGGGAAGTGGGGGGGAAGACAAAAGCTTAGACAATGTGGGAAAACATGGGGGGTCCTGTCATCTATGTGTGTATTTATTTGTGTGTCCCAGGGCCCCTTCACCAGCGGCCCCTCGATCGACCCCCTCCCCCCGCCGCGCCGCGGCCGGAGCGCCGGCGCCGAGCCTCGGGCGGAGGCCCGCGGGGGAGCGAGCGGGGCGGGGGCGGGGCCGGGGGGGGCGGCGGAGGTGCAAACGAGGTCCGTTTGGGCTCCTCCCTCCTCCCTCCTCCTCCTCCCTCCTCCCTCCTCCCTCCTCCCTCCTCCTCCTGCCTCCTCCCTCCTCCCTCCTCCTCCTCCTCCTCCTCCTCCTCCTCCTCCTCTCCTCCTCCTCCTCCTCCTCCTCCCTCCTCCTCCTCCTCCCTCCTCCCTCCTCCCTCCTCCTCCTCCTCCCTCCTCCTCCTCCTCCCTCCTCCTCCCTCCTCCTCCTCCTCCTCCTCCTCCTCCTCCTCCTCCTCCTCCTCCTCCTCCTCCCCTCCTCCTCCTCCTCCTCCTCCTCCTCCTCCTCCTCCTCCTCCTCCTCCTCCTCCTCCTCCTCCTCCTCCTCTCCTCCTCCTCCTCCTCCTCCTCCCTCCTCCTCCTCCTCCTCCTCCCTCCTCTCCTCCTCCTCCTCCCTCCTCCTCCCTCCCTCCTCCCTCCTCCTCCTCCTCTCCTCCTCCTCCGTCTCCGTCTCCTCCTCCTCCTCCTCTCCTCCTCCTCCTCCTCCTCCTCCTCCTCCGTCTCCGTCTCCTCCTCCTTGCAAACATGGATCAAGAGGGCGTGGATTCGTGGCGGGCCCCGTTGCCATCGGAGACCGCGGGCCCCCGCCGCCGAGCGAAGCGGCGCCGGCCGCACTCTGGCGAGGCACCTCCCCCGATCCATGTGGGTTTGGCGACCGCGCGCCGAATCCATGGATCGCTAATCTTTAAGTCGGGCGTGTCCCCCTACAGGGGGATTTTCGACGAAAAATAAAAAATACCTCACAAATATTCCAAAAAGGTAAGAAAAAACAAAAAAATAGTCCCAAGACTATTTTTTGATTATTTTTTGATTATTTGTGGGGTATTTTTATTTTTTCGCTGAAAATCCCCATGTGTGGGGACAGGTCCGACTTAACGCTAATCCATGTTTGCGCGCCCCCGATTTAGGGGAATTGTCAAATCACATGAACATGAAAACTCGGAGGTCCGCGCGGAGTTCTCGGATCGGCACTGGGGCCCCCTGGCAGCGCCTCCGGCGCTGCCCCTGGCGCGCACCGCGCTCCAGGGAGAGTCCAGCGCGGATCCAAGATATCCGCGCGGACCTCCGAGTTTTCATGTTTATGTAATTTTCCAGCTCCCTAGCCGTGGAAACCATTCCGCCCGGACTTAAAAGGGAAGGGGCTTCCCTTCGAGTTACTACGACGTTGCTCAGATTGGCTTCCCCCCGCGTCGCGGCCGCTCCCCTTCCCCCCGCGTCGCGGCCGCTCCCCTCGGGGGAGCAGATTGGCTTCCCCCCGGGTCGCGGCCTCTCCCCTTCCCCGAGGGGAGCCGACCACCCCTCTCGGAGCCGACGTGACGATCTCGTGGGCAGTGTGGGCGACGACGACGACGACGACGACGACGACAACGACGACGACCCACGCAAGATGACGAGATCAGGATACGTCTTCCACATTCCGCCCGGACTTCTTTTTTTTCGGGTGTCTTGAGTGCGCACAGCACCGCAGGGACTTGGTCAACCAATTGAGTGCGCGTTCGCTTCGACACGTCGGGGCGTCGACAGTTGCGACGCAGAAGGAAAATTGACGACGCACTCGCGCACCAACCGCTGCAAGCGCAGCGGCGAATCAGGCCATCGGAGGTCTGCGTGCGCGCACGATGCTCCGCGTTTCCACTCGCCCCCCTCCGCCTCCGCTGCACGACGAGCTGGAGAGTCGCTCGAGATTGCCAAGAGGAGCAGATGGCGGCGCGGCGAGGGCCAGCACAGACCCGACCAGAGGAGAAGGAAACAGTGCAGTTGCTGATCTCGTGCGCGGTATGGTTGTTGCCTATCTCCTGACCAACCCAGGTGAGTCCAGACATCGATATCACCGTAAGCGTGGCCAGTGTCGTTGGCGCCTCCACTAGATGAAAAGTTTAGCGAGTGCGCTCTGGGAGAATATGATTCGATGAAGGTGAAGGCTACGAGTCTCGAGCTGCATGAGCCGCGGGCCGCCGACGAGAGGGCCCTGTCTGTGGCGAGCCCTTGAGCTTATATGAGGATTCTGGCTCCAAGGGTTGAAATCATTTCGCCGACCCCCATCTGAGACGATTCCCGAACCTCCAGCAGACCAGTGAAACTGAAACGCCTGCAATGCTGTATTCAGAGGCCTCTTGGACTCATCGTGGCGGTCTATCGGGGCCCGTTGCTGAGAGCATCTAGAATATGATTTAGGCTCTTTGGGAGGCCCTGTTGGGGGCTGCGGGGTCGTTCGATTTAGAAGGAGGAGGGTCTGAATTCTTCACGCTTTGCGCATCCCCGCCAGCGCCCCGCTGCGACTCCGCCCGCCGCCGTCCCTGGTACTCTCGAAGACCCCTCGCTGGGGAACCACGAACATGCCTTGCAGAGGCAGGACATCGAGGCCATCCGCCAGCTTGTCGAGAGAAGTCCCTTCGCGCCCATTCGCCCTCGTTCCCCTGTCAGCGAATCCGCCCGAACGGACAGCGAACCGCAACCACTCCCTCCCGAAGGCCGGACCACGCTGAGGAAGGAGACTCCCGTCCTGGCAAAAGAAACGGTGTCTGACAACGTGCCTGGGCCAGGTACGACCCGCAGCACTCCCACACATGGCGAAAGTCACGCTGCGACAGGCGGGGGCGCGCTCGTGGACGAGGGCGGGCGCGGGTCGGAAGGCGAGCGCCAACGGGAGAGGCCTGCCCCCGCTTACCACAGTGCAGCTTTCCTCTCCGCCCCAGCTGCTGGAGGCGACTCGGCCTTTACCTGGCGGCCAACCGTGCGGCCCGCGCCAACCCGCAAGTCCCCGCCAGGCTTCGGTGCCCCGGTAGCCGCCGCGCCCCGCGAAGCCATAGACGATTCCGACGGCGGGCCCCACCAGTCGGAACAGGCGCATAGCAGCGAACGTGAGCAGCATGCGGAGCATGAGCCGGAAGAGCCTGATGAGCAGGAGCTGCCGGCCGCCCACGGGGAGGGCGCGGAGGTGGCGCCAGCACAGGAATGGGAGCACGGGCAAGAACAGGAACAGGCAACCACCCACCGTCGCACTCCCCTGGCTGACACTACTTGCCCTGGCCCCTCCCTCCCTGGCAATGGCGCGAGCTCGAGCGCCGAGGAACAACGGCAGCGCGGCCGGAACGCTCCCCCAGCGCGTCTTCGCGGCAGCGGGTGGACGCCCTGCCTAGCCTCTGTGACTGACGACCTTCCAGTCTCCCCGCCGACCCTGGGCCGAAACCTGGCTCGTAGCGGCGCCGACTGCGCTGGCGGGTCTGGTGGGCGGCAGACGGCAGGCGGCGGACGCAGCAGCAGCAGCCGCAGAAGCAGCAGCAGGCGCCGCGCCGAGGACCAGCCGCTGACCCCCCCGCCCCTTGTAGCGACTCCCGCCGCGCGTCACTGTCCAGAACCTTTAGACCCAGACACGGGACAGCAGCTATATAAAGCTAAGATCGGCGGCATCCAGTGGGACCCCCCCGGGGAGACACCTGGTGAGACGATAAAGCGGCTTCAGGTCACCCTGGGAGCGAGGTTCACAGGCGCCTGGCACGCGTTCGCCCAGCAGCACGCCATGCGTGGCAGCAAAGGCGCGCTCGACCCGCGGCGGCACGACCACCAAACGTGCGTCAACTTCCTGTCCTCCTTCCGCAGCCATAAC